GATAGTTGGTTTTAAATGTGCGTGAATGCTAATATGGACATGTATTGAAGTTAAGTGGGGTTGAGGTAAGTATTGGATGGAGTAAAAAAATTAGCAATGGAGTATTGACCATGTTGTCCTTCATGTTACGTTGGATGGGCTAATTACAATCGTAACTTGAGTATTTCTACAATGGTATAATATTGTGCACTTTGAACATGACTCTCATAGTTTTGTTTTTTATTTCATTGACACCCTCTTCCCTAATTAATGTAAGATTTTGTTTGCACTCCTTACAAATCCAATAAGATGGATATAATTGACTGATAAACTTTTCACAACTTTTCACATAGTGAGTCTAATTAATTAAATGAACAATATTTTTTAAAACAATTAATTTTATCATATTTTGTTAAAAAAGATTATCCTAAATTAAGCACCATAATTAATTGCTTGTTGGGAATTTTATCATATTTTATCAAAAAAAAAAAATTATCCTAAATTAAGCACCATGATTAATTGTGTGTTTGGTTCCCGTACTTTGAGCTTAATTTAGTTCATTCTGGTCTCATGTCTGTACTTTTAACATGTTCATTTTTGTTCATGTACTATCAACTTTAGTTATTGTAGTTTCATTGCTTTCAAATGTTTGTTTTGGTCCCGATACTTTTACAAAGTGTCATTTTAGACCTTATTTGAAAAAATTTAAAACAAATTGTATACATAATTGAAACCCTTTTTAATATAAATTCATGGTTACATTTTAATAAATATATTTAGTATAATGTTGTGTTGAAATAATTGTAGTAGAAAAATGAGGTTAAAAATAAAATTAAGGGACAAAAATGATCACTTTTTAAAAATAAGATATATGATATATATCAATTACTGTTGAGCTATACTAAAATACAACAAGATGGATATGATTGACTTTTAGATAAACTTTTTCACATCGTGAGTCTAATTAATTAAATCAACAACATTTTTTACAAGCAAATAATTTTATCATATTTTGTCAAAAAAATTTATCCTAAATTAGCACCATAACTAATTGCTTGTTGGGCTCTTATGCCTTCCATCTCACAGCCCAAGGTTAAAATACTATGTTGATTCCCGTACTTTGAGCATAATTTGGTTCATTCTGGTCTTATGTCTGTACTTTCAATATGTTCATTTTTGTCCATGTACTTTCAACTTCAGTTATTCTAGTCTCAATACTTTCAAATGTTTGTTTTTATCCCTATATTTTTACAAAGTGACCATTTTAGTATTTCTTTGCAAAATTTTAAAACAAATTATATACATAATTGAAACCCTTTTAAAAATTCATGGTTACATTTTAATAAATATATTGAGTGTAATGTTGTGTTGAAGTAATTTTAGTGGAAAAATGAGGTAAAAAATAAAAGGAAATTTGTAATGGGTAGCATATAAGTTTTCTATATTTAACAAAATAGCATGTCTTTTTGATATTTTCAGATATAACATTTTTTTTAAATCCTGATTTTAAAATTTTCAGTATTCTCAAATTACCCTTTTCAGTTATCGCTTCGTTATTATATATCAAACATATATCACATATATATCAGGAGTATATCTCACAACATTAGTATATCAGAAGTAAATCAATAGTATATCAGAAGTCAATCAGTACTATATCAATTGCATAATAGTGAATCACTATTTTACCTGCTTTAAACCCTTTGTCTTGTATTTTTTTGATCCATTAGAAATGAGTATGTATTGGCATCCATGAAAAATGAGAAAAAAATTTGATACTTACTGAAAATGAGAAAGAAAACTTGAAAGAAATATGAATGTCAATGTCAATGGTGATTTTCGAAATTACTGTGAATGAGAAATCAATTAGAAATTAGAGGTAAATAGAAACTTAGTGTTTTTCTGTATATCAATAATATATCAGTGATATATCAAGTATACATCGTACATATATCAATAGTACAATTAAGTTTTATTTAAAATTTTAAAGATCAAAACAAAATCAGCAACAATGTCATTCTTAAAAGGTTTGAACATCATTCTTGGGTATCAACATCAACATCAAATCAGCAGCAAAGTCCTTCAACCAAAAACTTAAAGGTTTAAACATCAAAACGAACCAGTAGCATAAACCAAAAGTAGACTAACAATGTCATTCTTAAAATTCTATAAAAGAAGAAGCATAAGTTCCAACAGTCGAGAAAAGCGTAAGTTCCATTCTTGTATAATGTTTAGGTAAAAGCTTGGGACATCAATCTTCATTCTTAGTGATTGTCGTGTCTTCGAAGATAATATCTTTGAAGCTTTCCATTCTTTTTTATAGACAACACTTTTGGTGTTGGTTTATGTTGTCTTTTGGGACGAACGACATCAACAATTTCGACGATGTTTTTTTATTTCATTTTTCGTGTTTGTACCATTGCTTTTATCTGAAAAAAAAATTATTTCATATATTAGTAGTACATCAAAAAACATATATTATAGGTAATATGTTCAAAATAATTGGTAGATATCATAGTTATATCAGAAGTAAATCAATTTCATATTATATGTATATCAAATATATATCACATATATATCAAGAGTATATCTGTCAATCATAGTTATATCAGAAGTCAATTAGTTCTATATCACCTATAGTAGTAGATATCATAGCTATATCATAAGTAAATCAATTTCATATCGTATGTATATCAAACATATATCACATATATATCAGGAGTATATTTGTCAATCATAGTTATATCATAAATAAATCAATAGTATATCCAGAAGTCAATCAGTTCTATATCACCTATAGTAGTATATATCATGGTTATATCAGAAGTAAATCAATTTCATATCAGATGTATATGAAACATATATCACATATATATCAAGAGTATATCTATCAATCATAGTTATATCATAAGTAAATCAGTAGTATATCAGAAGTCAATCAATTTTATGTCACCTATATTAGTAGATATCATAGTTATATCAGAAGTAAATCAATTTTATACCATATGTATATCAAACATATATCACATATATATCAAGAGTATATCTGTCAATCATTAGTATATAAGAAGTCAATCAGAAGTAATTTATTGTTGATTTGGGCCTGTAGGGTATACTTGTAATGTAGAACGTGGGCCTCCGTTTTTTGCAAAAAAAAAATGCTATATTTGAAAAACTCAAACCTTGTTGCTATTTTGCTTATTTTCCTAACTTTTTTGACATATCTCAAGTTGCCCCAAAATAAAATTAAGTGACAAAATGATAACTTTTTAAAAATAATATATATGAGAATTACATACTAAAATATGTGAAAGTGGGGATTCAAACTATGAATCTCATGATTGGTCAATACATATTGTGCCTTAACCCGTTGAGTTAAGCTCTAGTCAGTAATATTTAATATTTACCTAAATTTAGTGTTTAATTTGATGAAATGTGTTGAAAGTTGAAATTGACTCCCTCATAAGTAACAAAAATATATTTTATTTTTCTAAAAGATAAAAGAATACATAGTTATTCGTGGACTCTAATTTTTTAGAATTTAGAGTGACTTTTAGATGAGATATAAAAATAACGTCATTACACGAGACACTCTCGAATTTTCAATTTGATCAATTACATCTCTCTTAAACCATGGAAGCATGCTTTTGAGGCAAAAATCGCTTTTGATAGATGTATGCGATTTGGCTTAATTTGTGTACATTAAAGGGCCCTAGATTTAGAATCCTACCCTATTTCTATGGATAACAAGCTGGTCGTCCCAAAGTTTTCGGGGGAGCTGTAATTTGCCACATGAGTATTTTGTGGTTTAAAGGAGATTTAACCTATTTTTGTTTCCTATAAAATGAGCTCACATTGACATATTCTTTAGCCATTGCTTTCTTTCACTCCTCCTCTAACTCGATCATCTTCCGCTCGGGATCCCATTTCTCCATGGCCCATTCTCTAAACACAATGGTGGTAGTGGTAGCGGTGGCAATGGCAATGGTGATCCTGAGTGCAAGCAACTGCATGGCTGAGAGTAGCAGCAAGACCGTTGTCGCTGCTGCAACGTCAAAGTCGTGCCGTGGTGGCACCAAAGACTGCATCACAGGAGAAGAGGACATTAAGTTGACATTTGAGAGCCTTGCAAGCAATCTCAAGAATAAGCTATGTGATCGGCCGGAGGTAGGATTGAGGAGCTGTCTCCCCACAGAACACAAAATTCCCGTGGAAGAAAAGTGTAGCCCATTTAATCGCGACTGTCCACAATAGAACATAATTAGAAGCATCAGATGTCGACATGTGATGTTTCTTGTAATTCTTATCCACCACCTTAATTACCTTGATATATTGTTTGAATTTATCTAATCAATGTACTTAATTGGCTAAGGTTGGTTTCATCACTTCACATTGGAAATGGAATTTCACCTGATCTATTATTCTACAAATTATTACATTTGTTTCCCATTACTTAATTAGGAAAATAACATAACAAAGGAGCTAAACAAATCATATGTTTTTGTTTTGTTTAAAATCCATTTGGTTTTCTGTTTATTGTATTATGGTTTTTAACTTATAAAATGTCAATTTGTTTCTAAAAACTAAAAAATAACTGTTTGGGTCATTTTAGTTATCATATTATTATTATTATCTGTCAATTATTTAATTTAAAATGGGTGTAAATTATGTACAAACATATACTCAATAGCTGATGGTAAGTATTGGTGGAGTGGAATTTGATGGTGGAGCTACGATAACGGCAAAAGTGATTATTTCTGTAAAATTGTTTAATTAATTAAAACAAACTATCTCCAACTAAAAACCCAACCCTTATATTTTTGGGTCGGGTTGGCCGGTTTGATCATTGAGTTGCTAAGAATGTGAGAATAAGCGAAGAAAAGAGGGAAAGTGAAAATTGAATGGAAAACAAAGGTAGGGAAGACGAGCGATGGAGATGAGACAGAGATGGGTAAAGGTACGAAAGAGAGGATAAGGAATGAGCAGGTTGGATATCCTACTAATACATTAATATGGTAACGCCTTCTTTCCATAATTCTTTTCAACGCAACCACTAAAAAAAAAAAGGAAAAAGAAAAGCACACTGATTTGAAATTTGTCCTTCATCTTCCTTGCAGGTCCTCAAGTTCAGAGAAGACGATGCCTGACATTCCATTATTACACACAAAACTTGAATTCTCACTACTACTGTTTGTCCTCATCTCAATCTCGGCACTGTTACTGAACATGGCCTCCCCCAAGTGATCCCAGCCCTCCCTGTTGCTGAGCTCATCGTCTCCCATCTTTGAACTCTCTTGCAATTGGGATGCAAACTCCAACCCCCACACCACATCCTTCATCGATGGCCGTTTGTTTCCCTCGCCTTGGATGCAACTCATCGCGATTTCGACGAATTTTTTAAAGCATTCCGGTGCAATTTCGTTCTTGATATTCGGGTCAGTAATCTGATGAACAGTCTTTTCACGATAGCACCGTCGAACCAATTCTGCCAACAAGAGTGTCGTTTCGTTGTTACGAATCAACGCAGGACGAGCACAAAGCACTTCGCACAAAACCACTCCGAAGGAATATACATCAGATTTTTCAGTGAGATGCTGCCGCCGGCAGTACTCCGGGTCAAGGTAACCGAAGCTCCCTTTAACCACCGTGCTGATGTGGGCTTTGAACATGCTCGTTGGGCCGGCTTTCGACAGTCCAAAATCAGAAACCTTCGCAACCCAATTCTCGTCGAGTAAAATGTTTGTTGTTTTGACGTCACGGTGGATGATGGTGCTCTTGGCGCCGGTGTGGAGGTAGTCCAGCCCTTTCGCTGCTCCGATGCAAATCTGGAGGCGTTGCTTCCATGTAAGAGTTTGTTCATCGTCGCTACCACAGATCAAGTGACTTCTGAGGGTTCCATGAGACATGTAATCGTAAACTAGAATCATTTCATCTTCGTCGTTACAGTATCCGATCAGAGAGACGAGATGGAGATGACGAAGCTATGAGAGCATCTCAATCTCCGTCGTGAACTCATTCTCTACCTGTTTGGAACCTGGTTTCAATCTTTTGATCGCAACTTGTGTGGCTCCGTTGTCCATGTACCCTTTGTAGACATTGCCGAAACCTCCAGTGCCAATGATGAAACCATCGTGGAAATCTTTTGTGGCGGCTCTGATCTCCGATATTGAAAAGTAATGGCATAACTCAGATGGAAGATTTGAGTTGCCACTCTTACTTGACTTGTTCGTGGACATGGAATGCAAAGCCCTCCTGGAAGTTCCATCACTTGAGCTCTTGTCTGTGATTGTCCTGCATCTACGAAATGTAAATACACTTAGAGCTAGTATAGCTACCACACCTCCGACCACGATGGGAACTATAATTATCGTTGATTTACTCTTTGAATTCTTCGATTGTGAAATAAGTTGCAGAAGGGGTTGAGTGGGGGTGTTGGGAGGTGGGTCTGGGTTTGGGCCAGCGAGGCTACCGTTGGTGTTGTTTAATTTGAAGATTTCAATACCATTCAAGATGACATTGGTAAATCTAGTTAGAAAGTCATTTGGGTTTGCTTGGAGCTTAACGGAGAGATTCACTGTCTTTTCGCCTTTGCTACTAGGCACATTCACAACATAATCTCTGCGAATTGGAATATATTTCCCCCCGGCCCAACGAAACACATCGGCAGACGGCTCGGCGATCATGTCTCCAATGTAAATCAGAAACACTCTATCATTTGTGTCGTTGATTTCAGCCTCAAACTCGCAGAAATGAAGACGAAGCATGTAAAAGAATCCAGGATGTACAGGGTACTCCCATGTGAGGTTGTAGCTCTTATTCAGCGTAACATTTGGTCCCATCGTTCGAGCAGTGCGATAGACATCATCTGGTGCTGTGTATGGCGGAAATTTAGTATAATTGAGGTGGATAGTCAAGTTAAAAGGGCGAGCATCGTATATGTTCCTATCAAGCAAATAGTTTTCCTCTGACCAGGTCCGCAACATTCCAGTGTCATTAAAGGGGGAGATGGTTTTTCCACCGATATTCATCCTATATACCGTCTCGAGAGACGTGTAGTTTTCAATTGGGAAGAACTTATTTTTCTGGCCAATTTGCTTCAATCCCCGACCGCCTTCATCGTTAGGATCCGGCGGTGTATGATAAAGATCAGCGGGCATGGATACAATCTCAATCCCACTAATAAAAGCATAGGAGTCCATATTGGTGGGAGTGAATGTAAGATTGAGTTTGTTATCATTTTCATCCACACACACACAATATTCTTGAAAAAAATGATTGGTACCAGAAGCATCAGCGTTGACGGAAACGTTGAAATCGCGAAGGAGAGTGTAGAGACCAGCTGTGACAGAGAAGACGGCTCTGGTGCGGTCGAAGTTGGGGTAAGGAGCAGAGTAGAAGTAAAGCCGAACGAACTTCTGGCCGGGACTCACCGGAAAAGCGTAGGTAAACTCAAAGTGTGTGTAGTTCGTTGAAACCAACTCAAGACTCAGTAGATCTAGGTTTTACCCAAAGGGTTAAAGGTTAGAAACCGGCCTATAAAACCAATTTTTAATTTTGTATTAGGAGGGATTTTGAAAGATTCACCTTGTAAACTTGTGCTGTGAAATAGAAAAGTTTTCTACCTACAGTGGATGTAGGCCGTGTGCCGAACCACTTTAAAAGATTGTTGTTCTTATTCTCCTTCCCTTTCATTTTCTCTCTTATCTTCATCTGTCT